GTTTAGGGTTTTGGGTTTAGGGAGCTACTTATCCTGGGATCTAATCTTCGAGCTGTTTCTGCGGTTCTACCCTCCAGTATCCTATAGCTACGCAAGGGATCGCAACCTACTTTGTGCGGTTTGGGCTACAGGATCATGACATAAAGGCAAGAAGTATTGAGGCCCGAACTTCCGAGATTGGGGGCTTAGCATTTCGGCTTGGAGTTCCTGCACAGTCTGCTATTGCAGCTGCTACGGAATGCCTGCGTGTTGAGCTGCGGCGACAGAAGGCCGGTGTGGGCACTTCTATGCACACCATAGTGCGATAAAAACAGTAGCACCATCTAATAATGTCAGCAATAGACAAATCATTCGTCAGAAAACTACGAATAAGAAAACATGAGGATAGAAATGTCAACCAATCATGACAAGCAGAACAAGCACACAAATTTCCCAGCGGCTACATGTAACCACTCAGCTACTACAGTCACTCTCTAAACTATATAAAGCTGCTTAAACACCCTAAGCCGCTTTGGGGTTTGGGGTTTAGGGTTGAGGGTTCCCGGGAAAAAATCTGAGCAGCCGCACCCATGATCTCAAAGTAGCCCTCCACGAAGCCGCCGACGCTTACGCCGTGGACTCCTCACTACACCATCCCTCAGCCTACGTAAGGTCATACCCTGCCCCTTGTTTAGGGGACACACTTCATAATATAACAGATCCTAACCATAAAACTAGGTATCCCAAGAAAGAATACGGAATGACCCTGTAGGTTGGGTTGAGGGATCAGGGTTTGTGGAGTTGGGGCTTCCAGGCGCATATTCTAAGGGTCTTAGGGTTTAGGGATCACAGACAAAGACCGGGCCAACTACTATGTAAGGCTTGTCGGCAGCCCTGAGGAAATGCTCGCCAAGAGGACCGATGTATAAGACCGGCATGGAATTGCAAGTCCCCAAAAGCCAAAATAGTCTTGGTATCTCTGGCGCCTCTATATCCACAATGGCAGTATGCACGGACGCCCTGGACCACACATACTTCCTCTAGATTGCCTGGCTAGTTCTCTAAACAATAAACCCTAAACCCTAACTCCGTACAGTCCTTTTACCAGCCGAGTATTGCATGATTGGCTTAACACCATCCAGAGGAGTTTAAGCCCCAAGCCGTAGGAAGCTCAGCTGACCTGATCGATGCCTGACAGCGGACTTCAAACGTCCCTGCAGAGGTCGGCACTAATCAGTTTAGGGTTTAGGGTTTAGGGTTTAGGGTTTAGGGTTTAGGGTTTAGGGTGGAACCTGATTAAGAAACCCTGGTCCTATAACCCCCAAAAATAGTAGGATCCATATAGCAGAGCCCTCCAAAAA